AAGCAAGTGGAGGAGATTCAAATCTTGGCTCATGAACTCGAGGTTGAAGGTATGGGTTTGAACTCTAACTTTCTGGTTAGTGCTATCATTGAGAATTTGCCTCCCACTTGGAAGGATTTTAAGTTGTATCTTAAGCATCTAACGGAAGAGATGACTTTTGATCAACTTGTATTGAAACTCCGAGTTAAGGAAGACAATAGAAAAACCGAGAAGGATTGTGGAACCTCTTTGGAGCAACGCCAATATGGTGGCGGGTAACTCATCCAAAGAAAAGTTCACCAATGAATGTTTTTCTGAAAATGAAAGGCAAAGGTCCAACGAAACAATCTTTCAATGCAAAGAATCCTCTTTCCCAAACTAAACGCCCTTTCAAGAAACAACCCATCCTTTGATGGGTATGTGGAAAAGGTGGACATCGAGCAAAAGATTGTAGGTTCAAAAGGAATCAAGGGAACGGAGGAGGAAGTGGAGTTGTTGGCCCGTCCAATCAAGCTCACATAGCTGATTCAGAAAACCGGTTCGTTGGCGTGATCGAGGCAAACATGGTGACCAACAATGTTGATTGGTGGCTCGACACGGGTGCATCAAGGCACATATGCAACTCTCACAATCTGTTCACAACCTATACGAATGTACACAACTCCAACCTTCACATCAAAAAAACACACCAAAAACACCAAATATGATGGGCCCATAAACACTAAAAAAACTCAACTCCAATCACACTCTAAAAAAACCAAATTTGTGGACCCCACATTAAAATAATATATTTTATTTATTATTTTTAATAACAATATTTATAATTTGTAATAGATATTATAAGAATAAATAATTAGTAATTAATTTATTCAATGAAGAAATGTTAAAATAAAAACGATAAAATTTTAATTAATAAGTTTTATATTTAAAAAGATTACATTTGTTCAAATAGCACAAATTAAAAAAACACATAAATAATACTAATTCTCCGAGTTAGTATACTAGTCCCACAAATGATCAATTAATGCATTACGAAGTTCAAAGTGAGCATCTTTATCCTTGATCTTTTTGTGTCGAGCAAGAAACTATTCAAGTCCACCATTGTTATCGTTTATCATCTCAACTCCCACGTCTTGCACGTCACTTCGTTCTTCAATTGGTGCATTAATATTACGTTCATCTTCTATGATCATATTATGCATAATGATGCACGAAGTCATTATATCATGCAATATTTCCTTCCTCCATAACCGTGCAGGTCCTGTTACTATTGCAAATTATGATTGCAATATGCCAAATGCACGTTCTACGTCTTTTCTACATGCTTCTTGTTTCTTTGTAAAATATTGTTTTTAGAGCCACGTGGATCGTGAATAGATTGAACAAAGTGGCCCATTTTGGATATGCCATCAGCTAAATAATAACCCATATTATATGATTTTCCTTTGATGACATAATGTCATTGTTGCAAGATTAGCAAAAAGATGGGAGGACTCCAACACATTAATGTCATTGTTGGACCCAGGTAAACCAAAATATGCATGCCATATCCAAAGATCATAACTTCAAGAATAATACTTGGAGATCTACTACGACCGTAATATTGTCCTCCCCAACTGGTTGGACAATTCTTCCATTTCCAATGCATACAATCTAGGCTACCTAACATGTAACATCGGTTACGCTAATTCTTAATAAAAAAACTATTTATCCAAAAGTTTTTCCATAAAACAATCTCCAAGCAAGTACGGGATATATGTTATAGACTTCCACCAAAAATAAAATAACGAAGCCTACAACCGACGATTTTCGGTACTATAAGTCGGATTCAAAAATACAAATATATCTACCCAAAAGTATTATATACTTAGATACAACTCAAAACGATATATGCACAACGAGTACCAAAAAGATATCCAAGATCTGGAATCCTACAAGCAGATCTAAATTGTTTTATCTTTTCCTTGGACAGCTACCGACTTTCCTGAAAAGAAAATTTATTCTAAAAAAATAAGCGACAAGACTTAGTGAGATTATACCAAAGCTTACAATTATATATTTTATAAAAAAATACAAATAATAGACGAAACATAAGAGAAAGAATCGCTTATTTGTGTATTAGACTGTTAACTCAAAAATCTGCTAGAATTTCGCCCAGAGCGTAGTACAACCAGAGGCTCTGGTCGTCCAGAGGGCCTCTGGTCCCGAAGGACTTGGAGTCTAGAGCTCTGGTCTATACAACCAGAGGCTCTGGTCGTCCAGAGGGCCTCTGGTCCCGAAGGACTTGGAGTCTAGAGCTCTGGTCTATACAACCAGAGGCTCTGGTCGTCTAGAGGGCCTCTGGTCCCGAAGGACTTCCATACTTGGCCATTTAATCACGACAGAAAACTTTGGATCTTTCATCCTTAACATACAGTGCTTAATAAGACTTTTAGGATAATTAAGATCAATTACAACACCAAAAAAAACATATCAAATACCAAAGGCATCACTACCAAAATAGAGTATACATGTGCACCACACCCCTCTTCATCTATAGGGCCCATGCAAAGTATTCACACCCGGCTCCCTACCAATCGGGATACGTGAATACGACAATCGGTATGCCACACCCAACCTCCCTCTCCTTGGCATACGTGGACATACACCATGCTACGGCATATCACACGAAGTAATACCCGTAGATCATGGTTTATCAAAAGGCCAAATAAACAGTCTCGGATCCGGACTCAACCACAACGTAAAAGGATTAAGAAATACCAAAACAAAGTTAGGAAAAATTCACCTTACAAAATAACGCATGCAAAATCAGCAACTTTTCAGTAAGATTTCATATACATATACTATATATAAGTATAAGTTCGATATAAACTCACAGTGCTTTATTATAAACAACCGAACGCGGTAACATCCAATTCCAACCAACAATAGCATTAAACCTTCAGAGGCTCTAAATAGCCTTAAAACAGCCCTTGGAGTAAACATTTCAAGTATCAAAAACCAACTATATCCCAAACTCAAGTTATACACTTTAGATCTTGATTATCCTATTTACACTTTATTGTACAGCCCTCTGTTCAACCCCTGTTTTACCACACTTAGACTCAGATTTAGCCATTGACCTGAAAATACTAAATAAAGTATCCTCTTAAAGCTTTCTAATAAACAGACCTCACATTTTTAAGATTTTTCTATGATTTGTTATGAATTTTTTAAAACAGCAGCATCAAAGCTGTCAAAATCCAGCTTTATAACTCACTGCATGTTGCAGATTTTACCCAATTTAGCTTCAAATTCACACATTAATCAACATTATCTTTTATAATCTTTCAAATGCAGAACCTAGCCTCTAATTTAACACTTCTACTTGAAATAAACTTGTAATTAGAAGCATACCTTTGATGATTAACACATAATCCTCAAGAATCTAACATGGATCATCAAGGATTGGAGGATTAGCCTTAAGTGTGTGTAAATCGCACCTTGAGTGTGTGGGAGTTCTAGAGGTGAGAAAATTTGACTGATTTAGAGAGCTAGACATGGTTTTGACCTGTTTTAGTCAACAGTCCACCTAGTTTGTCATAGTTGACAGATTTAGTCCCTTATGCGTAACTTATTCATTTCAACTCCGTTTCGCACGAAACTTTCCAGATCTCCTAATTGATATATAAGAAGCTTGAATATAAAATTTCAGTCTCTAACTCGATCCAGAAGTCCAAATTCCAATCTAACTTTAGTAAGTACTAATCACTAAAATACTATACTAAATTAATCATGCTTAGCAACTTAAATGGACTTTTAGAAAGTTGGATGTTACATAACATTCATGGAAAACCTTGTTGTTCACCAACTTGGAGTAGTCGTGCCATATCATTAGCATTGGGTGTGCGGAGATAGCGGTCTCCAAACACCTCCACGAAGGCACTACAAAACCGCTTCAAAGCTTCTAAAATCGTCGATTCGTCTAATTTAAGGTACTCATCTGTAGCATCTGCAGCCACACCATATGCCAACATTCGAAATACAACAGTAACTTTTTGATAACTGAACAACCTTAGTTTGCCGCATCCATTCCTTCGTTGGAGAAAGTAGTTGTCATGACTTTGGATAGCATCCAAAATACAAAGAAATAAAGTACGATTCATTCGGAATCGTCGACGAAACATTGACTCAGGAAATCGAGGATTTTCAGAAAAATAATCATTGAAGAGATTGTGATCGGCATTTTCCCAATCACGATTGATAACTATATGGCCACGAATAAAACCATGATAAGATACATGATTGTTTTGAGCATAATTACGGATATAATTATCCACTTCAGACGCTAGATTGAATGCCTCGACCATTAGTTCGATATTAGTATTATCAAAAGCCTCATCGTCTGAATACGAATTATCTTCCATTTGAGTGGTATTTCTCAACAAAGAAGATTGCAAAATATAGTTGAGATATGTTTTTTATAGCTATGATTCAAGTTTTATAGTGGGAGTCAGTGGTGTTGTTAATTCTTACCAGACATTTCAGAAGAATCTTACCAGACTTTTCAGAAGAATCTTATCAGTGTGTTGTCTAATCTGTCTTCATTTGGAGTGAACTGAAAATTTTGTGTATAAATAGGGGGCGAGTCGGTAAGCTAAATCACACACATTTTCATAGAGATATTACCGGCCTTTTCATAAAAAATGTCTTCAACAATCCGAACTTCATCCTACAAAGATAACGAAGACATACAACTATGTCATTGTTATCTTGATATAACTCAAAATCCAATAATAGGTAGAAACCAATCAAAAGATAAGTTTTGGTCAAGAGTAGAAACTCTTTATCACCAAACCGAACTATTCGCATCCAATTCTCGACCAAGAAGATCATTGGAAACGAGAATGTCTTGCATTCTAAAAGCTTGCAAAAAATTGCGAGGGTGTATCAATCAAGTTGAAATGAGGAATCCAAGTGGTGCTTCTGAACAAGATATTGTAAGTATTTATTGTTTTAGTTGATCATTGTTTTATTAATTTAAATATAACGTGTATTTTTCATAGATGAACGAAGCGAAAGAGATGTTAAAACTTGACGGATCCTATAAGAAGGGTTTTAAGTTTGATCATGTATTGGGACATCTTAAAGACTCCGAGAGTTTATCAAATGTCACTGCATCAACTCAGTATCAACGACAAAGTCCTTATCAATCACCTTCTTCCGGTCCTGGTTCATCGTCTGGGACAGATGCCGGTTTACCGTCGTTGACTATTCACGACGCAGAAGGTACTCAAAGACCAATTGGTGTGAAAAAAACAAAATCAAGGCTCCAATATGATAATAAACTAGAGACCTTAGTCAAGGCTAGTAAAAAAAATGAGCAAATAAATAGCCAAAAACAATGAAGTTATGATGCGAAGGAATGAGGTTCAAGCTCATAAACTTGTATTAGAGTCGAGGTTGGCGGATGACAAACTTATGTTCATCGATCTAAACTCTATCACTGATCCTGTGTGTTATGAGTTTATAAAAATGAGAAAATTTGAATAGTGAGAGAGAGAGAGAGAGCGGAACCCTAGGTTCATATGGTTGGACAAGGATCAGAATTCATAGCATCTCAATATTGAGTATCTCAACATCAACAATTTGGAGGAGCTCAAGACCAGGCCGAAGGATTTCAGAACGTAGCAGGAAGCTTTAGTCAGTTTATGTCTAGCGGAGACGATTGGACCCTTTAATTTATGTATTTTAGTTTTTAAAATTTCCATTAATAAACTACGTTATCCGGTATCATATTTGTGTTATTAATAATTTATTATATATATATATATATAAATTTACATAATAAATATAAACACCTAAAAAAAAAATTTGTAATTATTTATTTAATAAATGATGGTGGGGACCACCCTTTTAGTGTGAATGTGTCTCACAGCAAATATGACGTTCACAAACTTCATTCGACAAAAAGTTGGTGTTTTTGGTGTGCGATTGGATCCAAAAGAACGGCAAAACTAGGGTTTTGCCGTTCGATTGGAGTTGCTCTTAGCAAGTGCTGACCTTGGGTTTTCTCTTGTCCTAGGCCGTCGTCCGACCTATCCAAATGGGTCTGGCACGTTCTTGAACCAAGACCGACTTGAAACCGGTCTGGGTTGGGACCGATTGATACCGCTTACAGTTTTATTTAAAATAGTTGGTCTGAGCCGGCTAGTTTTAGGACTGGTTATTGGTCCGGCCTAGGACCGGCCTGATTTTTCAAAAATACTACCGTTTTATTACCGCTACACAACAGTTGTATGATCGTTTTTTCCTATTTTTGATTGTTTTTTTGGTCCTATATACCCTTTATTAACTATATATAAGTCAACTATAAGTTGGGGGAATATACCAACTCACAAACGTTCTAATTTTTTGCTATAATTCTTGATTTCGACTCGTATACTAGCAAAAAAACGTATTTTAGCAAAAACATATTTTTTAAATGTATTTAATTGACCCAAATTACATATTTTCAAGTGTATTAAAATAAAAATACACTTTTGGTATTTTAAAAAAAATCATAAAGATTGTATATAAAATCGAATTTACTGGAAAAATACATAGGATCGATTTGGGCCAGGCCTGGGTCCACAACCGGTTCCCTGAACCGATTACAAAGTACGTTAACCGGGCCTTGAGTTTTTGGTCGGGACTGGGACTCGTTATGGGAATAGGGTTTGGGATAGAGACCGATTTTTAGCCATCTCTATGGCCTATAGACAGAGTCGGGTGGTCGTCCCTGCAAAAAGCTTTGTTCATAGTCATGCTATAATTGGGGCAAAGCCAGGAATGTTATTTAGAGTGGTCCATTTAAATAAAACAAGTAAAATTCAAACAAAAATGGTATTCGTTATGTATATATGGATTCAAAATAAGCATTTGTTAAGCATCTGAAAAATGTCAAAGTTTATGTTGGATATTAGTCCACATTTGTCCCACATAGGAGAAAGAAGGAAAATTTCATGTATTTATATGGCCTTACACACATGAATTATCAAGTTAGAAAGAGGCCTACAAAATGATTGACAATGGGTTTTGTTGTGGCATTACCCAATATTAATGGTCAAAAGATTGGGCTCTTGGGCTCTTATGACCTGGTTACGTTTTTACCCGATTCGAGACCAGTGTCGGTAACTGCATTTGTGTAGTTAATTTTTCGTTTTCGTTTTCGTATTTCCAGAAATCAGATACGATTGTTTTTCTGGATACATAGAATGCTCTCTCAATAATTTTTCCTCTCTATATCGTTGCTTCATGGAACGTATTATCGATTCGATGGAATCGGATTGACGTGCATCAATCCGATTAGATAGTTGTATCCTCAAGACAACGTCCGTTTACCAACGCACGATTGGGGGTGAAATTTCATCTTAGGATACTGCTGTGGCAAGCCTCTATCTCTCAATCTTGGCATATAGAAAAATCATCGTAAATGTTAGATTTTTACTAAATTTCTTGGTTAATTTCGGTTTGTTTCTGTTTTATTTTCTAATTTGGAAGTGTAATTCTATACTTCGTTGGATTGGTTCTAGCAATCTAAGACGAAATTTGGTTCTAGATAATATAAACAAATGGATCAATCAACGATATTGAAGAATTACGCTGAAAAACACGATAAATTCAAGGGTTCGGATTTCAAGCGTTGGCAACAAAAAATGTTGTTTTACTTGACCATGCTGTGAGTTTCGAACGTCCTCATGGAACAGACGCCTACTAATCCTCCTGTTAGTGAAGGGCAGAATGTTCATACCGCTAGACAGATTGCGGATTTCCAAAGAGTGGTCGATGTTTGGTCTAGCAACGAATATAGTTGTCGAAACTATATTCTGAATGGACTAGACGATTCCTTATATAATATATACTCCACTTCCAATACCGGAAGGGAGATATGGGAATCGTTAGAGACCAAATACGAAATGCAAGTGGCATGCTCTAAGAAATTCACTGTGGGAAAGTTTCTCAACTTCAAAATGAACGATTCTCGTTCAGTTGTCAAGCAAGTGGAGGAGATTCAAATCTTGGCTCATGAACTCGAGGTTGAAGGTATGGGTTTGAACTCTAACTTTCTGGTTAGTGCTATCATTGAGAAATTGCCTCCCACTTGGAAGGATTTCAAGTTGTATCTTAAGCATCTAACGGAAGAGATGACTTTTGATCAACTTGTATTGAAACTCCGAGTTGTGGAAGACAATAGAAAAATCAAGAAGGATTGTGGAACCTCTTTGGAGCAACGCCAATATGGTGGCGAGTAACTCATCCAAAGAAAAGTTCAACAATGAACATTTTCTGAAAATGAAAGGCAAAGGTCCAACGAAACAGTCTTTCAATACAAAGAATCCTCTTTCCCAAACTAAACGCCCTTTCAAGAAACAACCCATCCTTTGTTGGGTATGTGGAAAGGGTGGACATCAAGCAGAAGATTGTAGGTTCAAAAGGAATCAAGGGAACGGAGGAGGAAGTAGAGGTGCTGGCCCGTCCAATGAAGCTCACATCGCTGATTCAGAAAACCGGTTCGTTGGTGTGATCGAGGCAAACATGGTGACCAACAATGTTGATTGGTGGCTCGACACGGGTGCATCAAGGCACATATGCAACTCTCACAATATGTTCACAACCTATACGAAGGTACACAATGAGGAACCAATGTTCGTGAGGAATGCTACTAAAACTAAGGTGGAGGGTAAAGGAAGTGTGATCCTCAAGCTCACTTCTGGAAAAGAGCTCATGCTCTCTAATGTCTTACATGTACCTGAAATTAGCAAAAACTTGATTTCTGGCCCCGTTCTTAGTAACAAAAGGTTCAAAGTTGTAATAGAATCGGACAAGTTTGTCATCACCGAGGGTGGTGTGTATGTTGGGAAGGGCTACCTTCACGAGGGGCTCTTTAAGATCAGCACTGTAAATAACAATGCTATTATTATGAATAAGACAAACGTGGACTCAAGCTCCGCTCCTTCTATGTACATGATAGACTTACCTAGTTTGTGGCTTTTTCAATTGGGACATGTTAACTTTCGTTATTTACAAAGAATGATGAATCTTAACATGTTACCTAAAGGTTTTATGGGCAAGATGACAAAGTGTGAAACTTGTGTAGAATCCAATACACAAGTCATCCCCACAAATCAGTTGAGAAATCCAATGAAGTGCTTGGATTAATTCATACAGACTTGTGTGACTTTAAGGCAACTCCAACTAGAGGAGGGAAAAATTACTATATATCATTTATAGATGATTGCAGTAAGTTCTGTTTTGTCTATTTGTTACATACCAAGGACGAGGCTATCAATATGTTTAAAACATATAAAACCGAGGTCGGGAATCAACTCGACAAGAAGATCAAAATTCTAAGGTCCGATTGAGGAGGGGAGTATGAATCCCATGAATTTGCTGAATTTTGTTCTTCTCATGGTATAGTACATCAAACTACGGCACCTTATACCCCTCAACAAAACGGGGTAGCCGAACGGAAGAACATAAAACTAAAGAACATGATCAACTCAATGTTGATCACATCCGGGGATCCACTCAGTCTATGGGGTGAAGCTTGTCTTACTGCTAATACGATATTGAATAAAATCCCTCAAAAAAAGAGTAATCAATCACCATATGAATTAGGGAAAGGTAGATTACCTACCTTCAAAAGGATGAAAGTGTGGGGTTGCCTAGCTAAGGTTCAAGTCCCCTTACCAAAGAGGACTAAACTTGGACCGAAAACCATAGATTGCATATATCTTGGTCTAGCCAAGAATAGTGCAGCCTATAGGTTTCTTGTACACAAGTCACAAGTTGAGGATGTGTATATAAACACGATAATAGAATCTGCCGAAGCAGAATTCTTTGAAACCTCATTTCCTTATAGAGACAAGGAGAAACAATCTTTATTCCGACAAAAAGAGGAAATAAGGATATCTCACCTCATGATGAACCAAATCCAAGTACAAACTCGAACGGGGAAAGCACTTCCAATGTACAAAAGGAAATTGAACCTAGAAGAAGTAAGCATGGGAAAATAGCCAAAGATTTTGGACTAGATTATGTAACCTTTAATGTAGAAGGTGAACCGTTGACCTATAAGGCAGCTATGGATTCTTCCGAAGCTCCTTATTGGAAAGAGGCCATATAGAGTGAGATTGATTCCATTATCCAAAACAATACATGGAAATTGGTTAATCTCCCATCGGGACACAAACCAATAGGCCATAAATGGATCTTTAAAAGGAAACATAGACCTGATGGGACGATTGAAAAGTATAAGGCTCGTTTGGTAACCAAAGGATATCGTCAAAAAGAAGGTCAAGATTTCTTTGACACTTACTCTCTGGTTACGAGAATAACCTCGATAAGAACTCTTGTGGCAATTGCAGCGATTCACAATTTAGAAATACACCAAATGGATGTGAAAACTGCATTTCTAAACGGTGAACTGGATGAAGAGATCTATATGCAACAACCCGAAGGGTTTGTTGTTAAAGGTCAAGAGAACAAGGTCTGCAAACTGACTAAGTCCCTATATGAACATAAACAAGCGCCAAAGTGGTGGCACGAAAAGTTTGATCACACACTCTTATCTCAAGGTTTTCAGATAAATGGATGTGATAAATGTGTGTATGTCAAGAAATATAAGAATGCATATGTAATCATATGCATGTATGTGGATGACATGTTGATCATGGGTACCAATATGGATGTGATCAATCAAACGAAGAAAATGTTGAATTCCTCATTTGATATGAAAGACTTGGGAGTAGCGGATGTAATTCTCGGAATCAAGATTCACCAGATCTCTGAAAGCTACATTCTAACACAATCCCATTACATTGAAAAAGTCCTCAGAAAATTTGGACATTATGAGGATAGACCAGTGGTAACCCCATTTGATCCATCTACTAATCTAAAAAAGAATCAGGGAGATTTTTAGATTCAGGGAGATAGTGTATCATAATTGGAATATACTCAAGTTCTTAGTAGCTTGATGTATATCATGAATTGTATGAGACCGGATATTGCATATACGGTGAGTAGATTAAGCCGGTACTCACATAATCCGGGAAGAGATCACTGGTATGCACTAGTGAGAGTGCTTCGTTATCTCAAACATACAATTCATTATGGTTTACACTATACAAAGTATCCTCTCGTGATAGAAGGTTATTGTGATGCGAACTGGATTTCTAACAATTCAGAAAGTAAGTACACAAGTGGATATGTATTCACACTTGGTGAAGCATCAATATCTTGGAAGTCATCCAAGCAAACGGTTAATACACGCACGACTATGGAAGCTGAGTTTGTCGCTTTAGACAAAGCTGCTGAAGAAGCTGAATGGCTCAAGAGCTTTCCTATTGGTATTCCGTCATGGCCAAAGCCCGGTACTGCTATCTGTATATATTGTGATAGCATGGCTGCTCTAACGCGAGCAAAGAACCAAATCTACAATGGCAAGTCTAGACTTATAAGACGACGCCATAACACGATAAAAGACTTGTTGAAGAATGGAATAATCTCCATTGATTACATAAAGTCAAAGGAAAACATTGCAGATCCTTTGACAAAAGGCCTAAATCGAGAGCAAGTCATTTTTTCATCGAGAGGAATGGGCTTAAATCCAATACAAGATTCACTCCTTGGCGGAAACCTAACCTAGCAACAATGGAGATCCCATGGCCTAGGTTCAATATGCCAACTAGTTGAGGAAGATTCAAGCGCTTAACACAAAGGTATGCTTATTTCTATGATGATTTATTTGTGTTTTCCGTAGAAGTTTAAGAATTGAATTTATTCTTAATAATGTCAATAGCTCTTACAGTGGGATACTATGGAATGTCCCTGATTGACATTACCTATGTGAGAATGGTGTGCGGTCGCATCTTTGAGAACCGAGATGGCTAAGTTCTCTAAAAGTCTCATGAAGAAAGGATTATGTCCACGACCGAAATGAACACAACCGTAAGAATAGATATACGTATAGATATGATGTATGTGATGCTAATTGTCTAGATTTACTACTCATGGTGGTTAGTTTAAGACTTATGTTCACTACCCACTAAGTAGATCCGATTTGTATTCACTAAGGACAGTTCAAGTCCAAAAGACACCTTTCCTGATGTACATTGTATTTAGCTCCATGAATAGCAAATAATTTCCTATGTTTGTAAGCTTATTTTCTATTCAAATATGGGGTATTGTTGGAGTTTGAATAGAAAATGTGGGGTATTGTTGGATATTAGTCCACATTTGTCCCACATAGGAAAAAGAAGGAAAATTTCATGTGTTTATATGGCCTTACA